ACCAAAAGACATATGTTCTTACAAACTAAGGCTTAAGTTGTGATTGTGGCTCACATCTTTCCATGGTTTTACATCTAAGAATGGCTTAAACACCCTCTTTGGGTTGGGGATAAGCTTCTCATCTATTTTTCTTAAAAACTGATAAATAGGTTCTTTTTTAGTCAGATTCTGAATTGCACGATATACATCTCCACTAGGATGCATCTCAAGAGTTAATAGAATATTATCTAAAGACTCCTTATTTAGGTCATCCTCAGTGAATTGTATTTTATTTTCATAGTTTATTGATATGTTTCCTAAAGAATAATATTATGCATTACAATTCCATCTACCACATCGGTGATAGACTTTCAATCGTTTTGCATGACGTTTCTTTGCAAAAATATTTTTACCTATGCCAAGCATGTATAAAATGAAAGAATTGGAGGACTCATCTGATAATCGAAACTTTGCTTCAATTAACCAACAAATTTCTTCAGGAATTCCATAGTTTATTAACAACCTTAATCTTTCACAATTAACATGGTAAATTTTTGCAATCGTATTTGGAGGTAAAACAAGAAAATACTTTTTTTAATTTTTCAAGAGTGGTGTCTACTTTTTAGATGAGAAGAAAAGAGATGAAAAGAAAAGAGAAAGAACAAGAAATTGAACCAATAGACACATAGATATCAGTTATCATGGAAAATTGAAAGAACCGATATAAGATTCATGAAGTACCGTTATCTGCCATTTGACTAGAGTTGTAAAACGACTTGAAAACATTACCATTTTTTGGATTCTCAATATCACAGGCCCCACATGAATACATATATTTCATAATAAAATGATCGTTCCATCTTAATCTTAGTTTTTCAGGAAATAAATGGAGTTGAGAATTATAAAACAAGACTTTTCAACTAATATCAAATTTTTGATTATTTTTACAAGTTTTGTAAAATGCATATGAGTCCTTGAACATGGTGGGTTAGTAAAATCCACTTTATAAGATTTTTACCATTGTCTTTCTTGATGAGAAATGACCCCCACATGCCTCAAAATGATAAAATTTAATAACACTATTTACCTCATTATCAGGAATGCATCTTTGAAATATTTTATCAAGATAATATTTGAATAAATAAGGGTCATCCCAATAAAAGTTTTTTACTTCGTTCAAGAACTTTCATTTATCTTGAGTACTCTAATGAGTTGGCAAATATCTTGAAGCAAGAAAATTGATAAAATTAGCAAACCAAGGTATTAATCTAAGAGAAAGTTAGGATTCGTTAGGAAAGTAATTATCAATTGGTGTAATGTCGGATGTCGAATCTATTGTCACTTTTGACAAAAGATCCCTATCAATATTTTCAATGCCTTTCTTATTTGTGATTTTTTCCTAAGAATAAATCATTTGCAAATCTTCATATTCATCAAACTCAATTTTACTCAAGGTATATTTATATTGATCATAAATTAATTCTTCAATAAGATCTACTTCTTGTAAATCATTATCATCTCCAGGTTGCTTGCAAATGTTGAAAATATTCATCTCCAATGTCATGTTTCCAAATGATAACTTCATTAGTCCATTCCTACAATTAATCAATGTATTAGAAGTTGTAAGAAATGGGCGTCCTACAATAACAGGAAATGAATTATATGCTTCAAGAGGTTGTGTGTCAAAGACAATAAAATCCACAGGATAAATGAATTTATTGACTTGTATTAACACATCTTTAACTATTCCTCTAGACACTTTTACTAATCTATTGATAAGTAAAAGAGTTATAGAAGTCGGTTTTAGCTCATCTAGATTGAGACTTTGAAACTTGACACGACTAAAAGATTGATATTTTCTCCCAAGTGTAGAAGTGTTGAAGTAATAAATAACCTAGCTAGACTGAGGTCGAACCATAAGGAGGTTAACTGTATAAATTATAAATAATAATGATGATGATGATGATGATGATGATGATGATGATGACGAAGACTTTGAGATATAAGATTAACGAAATGATTAAATAAGGATAAAATAATTGTCAAGGTTATAGGATCCATTAATGATATTTCAAATAAGTATAGTATAAACTCTTTTTATTACTCAACTGAAAACCATACACAAATGAGGTTTCAATCGGATTATAAATTGTTAACATGATTACATTAGTTATCTTATTCGAATAGTACTAATACTCGTAAATGTTGTCAGAAGCAATGATTTTGTCATATGTCATAAAAGGGAAGTCCAATGGTAGGCAAAACACAGATGATTGTGAGATTCTTCTTCATCTCAGTAGAAAACATAATTGATGTCGGTTTGTAGAAATCGAAGCCTATCTTGGGTGCGAAGCTTCCCCATCGCTGCCAACCATAAAATAAAATTATATCTAGGCATAGACCAAGGTTCCCAGACCAACTTTGCCTAAGAAACTGGAGCACCTTTAAGCCGTAAGAAATCATAGCCATTAGTAGAGAAAGGATGTTCTACACTGCTCCAAAAAGTTAGCAATGTAATTACTTAATGCTTGGCTCTACAGTGTGCTAAAAGTTGATCTTTGAGTGAGATGATAGACTTCCATAATAGCGAGGAGGTTTGCTGAGGGGAGGCATCCCAAATGGAGAGATTTGGGAGATAATACTGATGAATCTACTAAATCCAAATGGAATTAGTTTTGAGGTGAATGTTCCATAGCTATTTGGCAATAAAGCTTTTGTTATGAGCTTTAATGTCAAATAGACCTAGGTCCCCTTCAGTCTTCTTGGATTGAAGTTTTATACTCTTACATTTCGAAAAAAAAAAAGTGTTAAAGGTTTTATATTGTTAATATAAATTAAGCATGTTGTGTTGTGCATGACATCAAATAGTGAGTCATGCTTATTGGATTAAGGGATTTTGGATGTATTATGATAAATCATAAAATTATGATTTGAAAGGGTTCAAGAGTTGCCACATAATATTATGGTTATTAGGAAGCCTAATGGTCTGCAAGAGTCTGAGTAACGAAATTAGTTGTGCAAGGAGGAGACATGTTACCCCTAGCGCACTCTATCTATGACAAGTTGTATTATTAATTGTTCAAAGTCATGTTTCTATTCATTAGTCAGTCTAAGGTTTTAAAAAAAATCCTCATCAATAAGAAAATTCTTACCTTATCATGTTAAAACCCCACCATTTTAAAGTCTAAAAAAAATTATCTAAGTTTTAAGAAAAGTGCTTCCCAGTAAGAAAATCTTTATCTCATTGAGTTAAAACTTAATCATCTTATTGCCCAAAAAAATAAAAAAAAAAGGTTTGTTATTTGAAATTTTTATCAAATCTTAATAGATAATCTCAAACTTGTTATGATACTTGTCTTAACCCAATTTTAGGTTTCTCCTAAAATCACCTTAAAAAAAGAAAAAAATGAAAAAACAATGATAACTTGGCGAAAAAAAAAAAGGTAGGCTGAGAAGAGTTAGGAAAAAAAACTGAGATTTTGGAAAAAATTAAGAACTCAAATATACCCAAGATTGAAAGGCAATGAAGATTCAAGATTAAAATAAATGATTATCGAGTGAATTTCCATAAAAATTAAGTATGAAGAATTAGTTAGATTTTGAATAAGTTAATTTGATTTAATCCCAGTTTAAATAAAGGTTTAATTAAGTTTAACAATCACTTTGGGCTTTTAATTTGTCAAATTCACTTTATTAAGGGTTTAATTGATAAAAACAAGTTTGAAAAGTTAATTTGGGCTTAATTAAGAATGTTGGAATTTTAGAGGACCATATTTAATTTTTACAAAGTTAATTAGGTGAAATCATGAACAAAATTGAAAGAAAAATCAAAGTTTATAGTCAATTAAGGGTAAAATTAAAGAAATTCAAATCAAGGATTTTTTTGCAAAAGGCGTGTGAATTTAGGGACTCAATTTGGTTGAAAATAAGGGTGAAATTAAATAAATTCAAAGTTTGAAGGTCAATTAGAGATAAAATTAAAAATATCTAAGACCAAGTTGAAAAACACGCTAAAATCAAGGAATGTTTTTGAAACATGATAGGGGTAAAATTGAAGTGATTGTTAAAATCAAAATTCAATAGAGGACTTAATTGAAAATTTTAAAAGATTGAGTTGAAATTAAAAGAGTAAGTTTAAAACTTAAATTAACCCAAAATACTAAAACAATGCCATTTTATTAAAATAAAATGATGTGATTTGTGTTGTTTTTTGGATCCAAATAATGTCATTTTAGTTAACAAAAATTAAAAAAGAATTATGTTAAACAACGTATTATCTTGCACTGTTTATCATCTCCTTTAAAGATCCTATGAAGCCACTTTTTAAAGCCATTTAATATCTCATTTCTTCCCCTAAATAAGATAAAAAGCCACTTTTTAAAGCCATTTAATATCTCGTTTCTTCCCCTAAATAAGATAAAAAAAACCCCTAAATAAGATAAAAAACACAACATATGTGTGACCTGACATTATACTTCACTTTATTTTATTAATGTACTTTTTTTAAAAAAAAAAGTTTTACTTTGCATTGATTTTTTATTAAAATTTTAATTAATACTCTTATATTTTTTAAATTATTTGGTTCAACTTTTTTATAAATATTAATTGATTCTTTGAAGTCATAATGCTTCTAAGAAATTGTTGCAATTTATCTTTAAAATTTGTCCATTTGTATTTTATATAAATACATAGTGTGATATTTTTATAAAAACACAACAAAATATTTGTTCTTAGCAGTAAAAAATAATCTCTAATATAAAAAAAATAAGTCAAATATTTGTTAATATTCTTTTTATTTATCAATTCATGTATATTTTTATAATGTATTTTATTTAACAAAAACACGATCTTTCAATTTTTCAATTTAAAAAATAATGATACATAAAAACACATGATTTTAACATCTTAACATCTTTTATTTACGGTCGACTAGTGTGTTAGCAAATAACAATCAGTTTGCTTTCAATATTAGGAGTTTAGTTTCCATGTTACAATTATTGCCCAATAACAACATAAATGACTTTCTAAGAAAAATCATATTATTTTTCATTGCATTGAGATTACTTGAGAAGACCAAAATTAGCCAAACCCAAATTCAGAACAGCTACAAAACGGCCTAACAAAGAATAAAACAAAGAACTAAGTCAAGGCCATCCAAGGAAGTAAAGGAACAGCTTAATGTAAGCCTGAAGCTTCACCAAAAAAATAAAGAGACGAGAAAACCCTATTTTATGAGGATCTACAAAAGTTTTTGCTTCAGTGGCTACAACAAACACAGTGAAACATTACCAGATAGAACAATATATGATATGATATGCCCTAACATACGAAACAATGGCACATATTGCGGTATATTCCAGAACTCAGCCATCCATCCTAGCAAAATGTCCAGTAATCCTAGTGATGTTCCCTATCCTGAGATACACTTGATACTTGTAGTACCTGTTGATTCCAAATAAAAAATATCAAATTAAGAAGTCTAGACATGATGACAGGAAAATATATAGCAGCCATCAAAACATCATACTCTTGCTAGAATACTCTGCTTTAACCAGATGATGCAAACAGCATGTGGTGAGACACGTGACTTGTTAGTGTAAGAAAGTTCGTAGTCATCCAGGGCACGCAGAAATCAGTTTGACAAACAATTTCAAAATTTTTCCACAAATTGTCAAACCACAACTTAACAGCAACAGCAACTGCATACCACTTTCAATGATCCATCTTAGCAAAACGTCCCCTAATTCTTGTTCTGCCTTCTGCCCGAACCTTGCGGGATTCATACCTGATATGTTTGCTGTACCTGTTGTTTTTCACAGAAAGAATGTTGGTTTACAAGTTCCAGAAAAATGACATCCTAAGATCACTCATCTCATGCTAATGAACCATCCTGCTAAGATTCTACAACTTATTTAGGTGGTCCACTTGACATGTCCATGTTCAATAATTTAAAATTCTCAACAATCCATCTGTCACAAGATTACGCTTAAAACATAGAGTAATTACTAGTTAAAGTTGTTTACAGTCCATGAAACATATAGAAGAGCTTGTTGAAGACTGATGCGTCTTCTTCAATGTAAATTTATTCAGACCAAAAAGGTGTTCATTTTGAATCTTAATTTCTCAATTATTTCGATCCAATGAGAACATGCTAATGCAATTCATTTTCTTGGAGACCCCAAAACTATCAAAGAGTCTTAGAAAATCTAACACATAAACCAAAGCTAAATATTACGAAAATTAACCACTTTCAAAGGATATAGGAAATGTCGATCTCAGAATGCACATGTTCAAGTCCCTTTCAAATTGAAAACATAGATTTGCAATATAGTACTATCAAAGACAAACTCGTGGTCCAAATACCTCCTTGTTTTCTTCTTCTCCTTGTATCGTGAAATAGCAGAATCTCTCTCCTGGCTGTTTAATTCATGTGTCACAACATTTGGGAGAGCTGGTAATGTTTCAATTGTAAGATGTTGTGGCTCTGCTGCATGATCATCATGGACGTGACTTGCACTGCCAATAATATTGAAATCTTTGTCAGGAACTGCACAACTTTCCTCAAAGTTGCTACTTGGTAATGTAGAAGGAAAAAGAACTTGATTTGCAGCTTCACCATAATCAGCAAGCCAATCAGGCAGATTTTCCTGAATTAAGGAAAAATAAATTATTCCTCTTTTATTCTACTGAAAGAAAATCTGATACTAATAATTGCAAGAGCAGAATTAAAAAGAAATCAAAAGACAAGAAAATAAATTTAAATAAGAAGCTATCTGATGATTATGCCAGCTAATAAGTGATCACGAGCCTGCCACTCATGCTTACAAGTAACATAGGTTTCATGCAAAGAATCTAGTGACCCTGGAGACAATGGGATAAATTGTATACACAATCAAGCACAAACAGATCTAAAACCCAGGGAAAGTTTATTTTGACATATAACCAATTTCTTGTATGCCCATGTCATGTAAAAAATTCATTAACCCCGGAGACCACAAGATGGCCTCTCTTCCACATGAAAACACAGATCTACTAGATGCTATTTAATCAATTTGCTTTTTTGCATGCGTGTGCCTTGGTGGACGGGCAAGTTATAAATGTTTGCGTGCACCTCCTAATAAAGCTTTGCTTCTCAATTGCCAACCCTAAAACCCTTGATCATCCACATGGACTAGCGTGCCAAACCAACAAGGAATCAAGAAGACTCATATTACCACTTAGACTACGAAAAGACATGTTGATGATATTTTGAATTCAGATCCAGTCCTACTGAGATTGTTCTCTTTCCTTCCACATGTAGATCACTATGGCATTCTTAATTCGGATAATGAATTAGCTCAACAATGGTGAGGCAGACAGATAAAAGGAAATTAATTTCACAACCACAAGCAAAAATGCTGATGCTCACAAATTATACAAAACATGAAAGTTTACAAATGAATGCCGTAGTTCAATGGTGCCTATGTCCCCGCCCCCCCCTCCCCATGTAACCAAAAACAAAAATGGAAAATATTTACCTTGTATGAAGTGAACGCCCCAGGATCACCAATTGTATTTAAATTCGGTGGCTGCGGATCAGCATCCATTGATTGAAGGATTACAGGGTCAATGTCTGCATTTCCATATGGATCAGGCTTCAATCTCACTAGTTCACGAAGCTGACAAAGGATTTCTTCCTTGTGCTGCCCACAAGCAGCATTACGATTCTGATTCAAGAATGACATCCTCAACCAGGTCAAAACCACAGCAGTCCATAGACAAAATTTGACTAGTATTTAGCAACTAAGATTTTTCATATGGACAACATCATAATTCCAAAACTCTATAAAAATCTACACGAATTTACTTGGAACTTTAATTTTTAGAACTCTAAAATTTAGCCAATGAATTATCAAGCTTGTACTTTAATTTTCCCACATAAAACTTTCTGGATAATTTTCAGTCATAGGAAAGAAAAAAGAAGAAGAAAAAAAAGGGAGTGATGAGGAAATCAAACAGATGTTCAAGAAATCTCAATTATACTCGTGCATATATCAAAAAGGAACCTAAAGGGAAAACACAATTAGTCAACTAAGTTTTTTTTCTTAAAAAAAAAGTTGTGTTTGTTTGCCAGCAATCCGAGCAAAAAAGCTTCTTTTTTTTTTTTTTAAGATCTTTTTGTAGTTCAAACCAATGAAACCTACCGCAACCACATGGCTTTTTTAAAGTGAGACTTTTCAGTACAGCATAAGCAGAATTGGAACCTTCATCTGAAGCTAACAAGAAACCCCTCAGACACACTAATTTAAGCTTTACAGTGATTATTAAGAAGCACAAATAGATAATTACCTTAGGCAAAGGAGGGACTCCTAAAGTCTGGAAATTTGAACCCGAATCACTGGAAACTATCAAATCATCAATGCAAACAGCAGGGCTATCCCAAAGAAACAAATCCGAAAAGCCATCATCAAGTTCAGACCCCATAAACCCATCACTTTCTTCACTAAAAAACAGAGACTTTTTGAGACCCAGCTCTTCAAACCCCAAAATTGTCATCAATTCATTCCCTGAAGGACACCCAGTAAAACCCTCAATCGGCCTACGAATGTGTGTTGAAGACAAAGAAGAAAGACTGTGTCTCTCCCAGTCGCAGTTCTGGCAAAAAACAGAGTGCTCTGTTTGACAGAAGATTGATACAGGGGATGCGTGACAGGCATCACAGAGCAGTGAACGAGTGTGCTTGGAGAAGAGCTGGTTCGTTGAGTGGACTTCATGATCACAAGAGAAACAAAGCTTGGCTGAGTCAGCTCTGCAATATAGGAGAGCTGTGGTGTCATTACAGTAATCACAAAGCCTTTTTTGTTGTTGCCTGGGCTTCATGATTGTGCTGTTTGGAGTTTTGGTTGTTGCTGTTGTTGATATTGGGGCTTAAGAGAATCGGTGATTTCTGTACATTTTATATATACATGGATATTGTTTAATTATTGATTACCAATGAGATAATTTAATGTGTTGAAAAGGATGAGAAAGCTTATCTTTCTTGTTGTCCAAGAATTGTCCAAGAAAATTGATTGTACGTTTTTGTTTGATTTTTCTTTCAATCAATTAAATGAATTGAATTGGCATCTTCTTTTCACTTTTTTCTTTTTTTAGTTGCGCAGTTGTGCTTTTCTTTCTTGCCTGCCTGGCTACCAGAATTTTCATTATTTGGTAGTTCTTACTTGGATATTTTTATATTTTTTAAAGAATAAGATTAGTTTTATTTAAGATTATGGTTATATTTCCTAACAAATATGTTTTTTAAAGATTGTACTTGTGTTTTTATTTTTATTACGATTTTTTTTATAGAAACATAGCAATACTTTAATAGTCAAATCAACACTTTATTAGTAGAATTTTTATTATTTAAATATAATTATACATTCATTTCAAATAATTTTATTTTAATTTTCATATAATTTTCAAAATTATTAAATTATCTTATAGATTTTAGTGAACGTATGGAATTAGGGCCAACTCAAAACTATCCATTGATGTTAAGTAATGATGCACTGCCCTTATATTTTCTCTCTGTGACTCAGATTTTAGTAAATTAATAGTTCTTGAAGAGAAAATTCAACATCCACGAGTGCCACTACAGAGATTTTGTTTGGAAAACTGTAGTTTTCGGTCCCTTTCTTTTTGAAAAATAAAAACAGAGTATTTAGTAAAAATCTAAAATTTATTTTGAAATTCACTTTATAGTCGAAATTCAAGTCATCGGAAGAAAATTTCGAGATTTTGAATTTTATTTAATACAAAGCAATCTTTTTAGCACATTTTACCAAATATTCTTACAACAGTATAACATCCACCAATCCTTTGTATTTATTCTAAGTTAATTGTGGTGATAGATATTAAGTTCAATTTCTTTTCGTTTTCAAGTTTAATTATTAACAAGTACTTGACATACATGAAAAGGAATTACAATGACAAAGAGTACTAAATTATGTCTATGTTAGTATTAAATGATGACAAATTTAAGTAATGTAAATAGACTCTTGTCCATATAGCAGTGATCATCCTCTACCATTTACAACACATCAATTTATCAGATTTGTTTTTAATTATATCGGAATTTCTTATAGACTTTAAGCAAAAAAACACATCAATTTATCAGATTTGTTTTTAATTTATCAGAATTTCTTATAGACTTTAAGCAAAAAATAAAAATAAAATAAAAAACAGAAAAATCCTTCCATTGATTTTTTTAAAACATCTTTTTATTGTGAGGTAAATTTATAGAACAATTACAAAGAGATTTTATTGTTCATCTCATTCCAAATACAAATTTTTTTTAATTTTAATTATATCTTTCAATATTAGATTTATTTGAGATTAAACTTTATAATTTTTTTAATTTATTTTTTATAAGATTATTGTAGTCTTATGATTTGAACCATAGATTAATTTGGGTTGAAGCAAGTTATCTTTGTATTATTTTTTAATTTTATCCTTTAATACTAAGTTCATCGATGATTGGGCTTCATAAATTTTTTCAATTTATTTTTTATAAAATTATCCTAGTCTCATAATCTAAATCGTGAGTTTGATTAATTAACTCAGTTAAATCTAGTTTTTCTCTTTTTTTCTAATTGATTTTTTTCTTTTCCAATTCAACTCTCCTATATTACAGTGATTAAGAATTATGTTTCATGATTTATTTTGATTTACTTTATATGATGTTATTTTTATCTCATGGCTCAAGTCACATATAAAATAGGCTAATTTAAGTTGACTTCAGTTATGGCTCAAGTCACGTATAAAATAGGCTAATTTAAGTTAACTTCAGTTATTTTTTTGTCTTTTTTAACTGATATTTTTTTTAATTTTATCTTTCAATATATGATTGATTGAAAATTTAACTTTACAATTTATTTTAATTTGTTTTCTACTAGGTTCTTTTGATCCTATAACCTAAGTTGTGGATTTGACATGTTAACTCTAGTTGATTTAGATTATTTTTTAGGCTTTTTAAAATTAAATTTATTTTTTTAATTTTATTCTTTAACAGTGAATTTATTAAAATTTTAGCTTTATAATTTATTTTAATTTTTTTCTATTTAGTTATAATAATCTCATGATTTGCATACAGATTAGTTGGTAAATCCAGATTAATATAAGTTGGTTCAATAAGTTATTACCTTGATTTTTATAAAAAAAAATTCATTTTAAATATTTATTTTGAGTCTAATTAAATTTTTACCAGTCATCTAAATCATCTTTAAATATAAGTCAACTTATTTATATTATATAATTCTTTACATCATTTAAATAAATATTTTGCTATGAAAAAAACGTTAATAATACCTAGATGTTTTTTCACTATTAAAAAAAGAATTCATATACTGCGCGAGCCAATCTAGAAGGCTGCTATTGCCAACATGTTCCCTTTATTATGCAATTAATGAAAAGAGATATTTTAGAAAAGGAGGAGATTTTTTAGGGATTTTGCTTCGCTTACTTTCCTATCAACTTTGATATTTACGTGTGTTTGGGGCTCTCCTCCACCGAGAACTTGCTGGATCCGCCTCAGATAACAATACGAAAAAGAAAGGCCAATCGTGTCATTTACTAACCAAAAAAGGCCAATCACGTCCTCATGCTGATAACTTGATATCGCAATTCGCAAGCCTCTCCTGCTCCACTCATTTCATTTTTAAATAGATTCATATTAATTATTTTACAAGTGTTTTATTACTAGTTAAATAATGTTTTTTTTTTGTTTTATTACTAGTTAAATAATGTTTTTTTAGAAAAAACTTTTTAAATATTTTTTATAAAAAAATTTGAAATATAAATAAAAAAATCTATGCATATATTTAATTAAATAAATTAAAAGTTATATTTGTTAATAAAAAATATTAATACATCTATTGAATTCATCTCACTAGAAGTCAAATAATTGTTTTTTCAAATATAAATAAATTAATGTTTAATGTTATTAATATATTTTTTTACAACAAGTAAAAAAATATAAATATAAATAAAAAAAATTGATGTTTATATAGAATAAAATATAGTAAAAATTATATACTTTAATAAAAGATATATAAGATCTCCAGCTTATGTTAATGTTTTTTTGAAAATAAGAACAATATTAGAACTATTATATTAAAACACTATTTCTTTAATTTTTGAATAAGAATTTTTTAAAAAGTAAAAAGCGGCATAAAAGATAGTTAAGAATAAAGATGAGAATAAAAATAATAATATAAATAGGCCAAATGTAGAGTAATAAATATTTTAAGTATAAAGAATAAAAATAATATTTTTTTTCAAAAAAAATATAAAGAAAACAAAAGTAAAAAAAATATAAAGATACGAAGATAAAAAATAATAATGAATAAACCAAGTGTAAAATAGTAAAAATATCAAATATATAAAAAATGTAAGAAAAACTTATTCTCTAAACAAACAAATATTATAGATTTGCATCGCTATAGTACCTACTAATAATGAAAAAAATAGAAAAAAAATTCAATTGTGCCATTTCTTTAGTAAAATATTGTTTCTTTTAATATATATATATATATATATATTGTTTCTTTTTATATATATATATATATATATATATATATATATATATATATTATTCAAAGAAGAATTTTATATTTGATTGGAAATAATTTCTTATTTAATAAAAAATATTTTTATATATGAATCATTTTTTAATAAATAAAAAAGTTACTACTTTAATTTATCGATTTTAACTCATATCATTTGTATTTCTCATTTTTCTAATCTGAGTTATTCTTATTCATAAATAATTTATGAAAAGAATTTTAAAATTAACTCAATAAAATAATATTTTTCATAAATATTATACTATAAAAAGCATGGGAAAAACGTTGTGCATGTACCATGGACATAAACTTATTGCACTATGGGCTACACTGTAAACATAAAGTGTTTGCATTATGAATGACCCATGAAGGCATTGTCTTTGTAGTTTTTTATTCAAAAAGTGTTGTTAGGGGGCGTTCTCTTTTTTATTTTCTATTGCAAAAGTTGTTAGATCTAGCTTAATAGCTACACCCAAATCACTTTCAACAGGTGTTAGGTTTTCCCCATAACCAAACCTGGATATTTTAAATTTTATGTTTTGCCTATTTAGATTTTTTTTTATATTATACAAAAATTGGGTGATGATACTTGTTTTTCATTTAAGGTTAGGTAGGGTTGAATTTCTTTTCTCTTGGCGTTGGGTCTTATTGGTTTTTCTTTTAGTTTTTTATGCGGTAAAGAGGAATTACATTTATGAGACTTTTTTTATATTATATAAAAATTAAATAATGATAATTATTTTTTATTTGAGGTTAGGTTGTCTATATTATACAAAAATTAAATAATGATAATTGTTTTTTATTTGAGGTTAGGTTGTTATGCTATTACCATTAACCCAATAAAGTTGGGGTCTGCTGATCAGCAGGACCAATTAGCATTGGGTTCGGCTGCCTAAGCAGACTCAGCAACTTTTGGACTTTTTGGCCATCAAACCTAATGTTATCGAGTCTGGTTTTTCTGTCAAACCTAAAGCTCCTAGGTCTAGTTTGGCCGTTAGACTCAATGTTATTGGGTCCATCTTTGCAGTTAGATCCAAAGCTATTTTTGATATGGTTTGGTTGCTAGATCAAGACTCTTTGTATTTTTCTATATTTAAATTTTTTTTATAAACTCATTGCGAAGTGCGAGTCAATATGTTAGTTTGACTTGAAAACTGGTTATAAAAAATTATATTGTAAACAACACGAGTTGTGACATGTATGGAAGATGTTTCAAAACTGGTTCATCGATGAAAAGTGTGGGTGAATTGCTAGCATCATGTTTGATATTGTGTTTATTTTTAATTTTTAAATTGCTTTTTATCTAAAAAATATATTTTTAAGTATTTTTATTGATTTTTTTGTGTTTATTTTAAAAATAAAAAATTATTTTAATACATTCTTAATTAAAAAAATACCCCATTTCACAACTAAGATAGTGAATAGTGTTTTTAAAATATCATTTCTATAGAAACCCCTAAAAAAAAGAAGTGAAATTGAAATGACTCTACCATCATTGTTGATT